AGTGGACATCAGGGTGAAGAGGGACTCTTCCTTGGGTTTTCCCCAGCGTCCACAGAGCCACTGGGTCTGTGAGCTTGCCCCTACTCGTGACCCTCCGTGGTCCTTCATCTGGTCCATTTAGGGCTGAGCTGGAACATGCCACTCCAACCTGGGTTTCAGTCGAAGGAGATCCATGTTCAAGAAGCCCAGCCAAGAGACAGGGCAGAGGGGCTGAGAGACAGGGTTCTGAAGTTGGGTGGGTCTAGGTTCTATCCTATGTTCACCATTTATCTTCTGTCTTTGGGGTGTTAGGTCAGTTGTTTAAATGGTAGGTTTTTCCATTTTCCATTTGTGAAATTGGAACGATACCTCTGCTGCCATAGGGTGGCTGTGAGGGTGAAATGAAATGATGCGTTTCAGCTCTTGTCACAGCGTCTGCACGTGGCAGACCCTCGGTATTAGCAAATAAAGTAAAATAAAGCCAGCAAACCAGCATGGGCATGGGCAGAGGGGTGTTGCTAAATAGGCCTTCATCCGCCATGTTCCTGAGCACTGATCCTGTAACGCACAACACATGGTGTTTGACTATATTTTCTATTTGAATATTTTATGAAATTCTTTCATTATTAAATAGTTGTTATTTTGGTGTGAATGGCCTCTTCACCAATTAGACTGATTTAGTAAGCAGATCTTACTCATTTGTAGTCCACTAAGTTTAGCAAATCCTGGCTGTATCAAATAATAGTAAATCAAGTAGAGGTCAGCAACAAATTGTAAAGAAAATGTGTAACAAGGAATCCAAGTGCCTAAATGAGTGCGTGTAGCTTTGAGGTGTTTCTGTTTACTGGAAGTCAGAGTGAGCAGAGGATGAGCATTTGACAACTTCTGATCAGGGCCCTGGCCTCTCTCTTCCCTCCAGCATACCTATAAAATATAACTAAGTCACTAATTTAAAACAACTCTCCATAAACTTTACAAAGTAACAAATTTACTCACTCAGAAACTGTCAGTCCCTCTGTCCCCTGTCATCTCCCCTAGCCCCACCACAGTTTTGCCAACCTCCGTGACTCAACACCCAAATGTACTTGTTATTCTACTTCTGTGGTGCCCCAGCAGCCCAGCTGGCCACCCCGCAGGCTCAGTCCTGCCCCAGGCACAGGTAAAGACAGGCTTCAGAGGCAGGGAGGCCTGAATTCAAATTCGGATCTATCACTTTCTAGAGGATGTGACTTTGGTAGCTTATGAAGCCTCTCTGTGCCTTGGTTTCTTCATCTGTAAGTTGGGTGTGATGATGCGTAACTCAGTCACCTCATAGATAAAGCATGTGGTTAGCTGCCCCTAACTTACTTAACCTTGGCTCCCAAATCTCTCTGGAAGTTATAGGATAAGTCTCAGGACCTCATCCACAGAAGGAAAATCTAAACTGCTGGAGACTCTTTTGTTCTTCAATGTCCCCCTCTCATTCCAGCCTTCTCTTAGTTACCATAGCAACCTCCACCTGCTCCTGCTCCCAGTGGTTGTGCCACCACTCTGCTCTGTCCCGCTCAGTTCTCCCACACCGGCTTGGCCCTGGGACCGGAGCCAGCCCCTTCCCACGCGAACGGTTTTCTCCAACCACAGATCCTGTGGCCTGCCCTGCTGCAGTGTGCAGTCCACCCAGGGCTCTTCCCACCAGAAGTGCTGGAGATCCTGCTGCCCCGTCCGTGCCACTACCGCGACCAAAGCTCTTGCCAATTCCTTCCTTCCTGACTGCCACTCCCGCTCCCCTCTGCTGCACACAGAGGTACACGTGAGGGCAGTGCAGGTGGTGGACCCATCCAGGGTCAGGAGAAGCTCAATCTACTTCCTGCTGGAGCTCCCGTTGGAACTGGCTTCAGAGACAGAAAGCTTCCTTCTCGGCGTCCTCAAAGATGGTGGCACTTCATGAACTGATGATAAATCTGATGTTTGCAGAGTGTCAAAAGTCACTGAGAGAAGAGTAAGAGGCAGCGTGCTATGAGAGAGCCAGGGCGGGGAGCTGGAGGGGCTTCGGTCCAGCCCCACCCCTTCTGCACTGAGTGGCCACTTCTCGGAGGATTTCTTAGTGTCCTCACTTATTAAAATGGGCTCAGCCACGCCACCTCAGAGGACTGTCAGGGGAATCAGATGAAATGAGACGGTAATGCAAATGAAGGGAAATCAAATCGGATGGTGACTGTCATTATCATTAACCTCTCAGGGAGTCTCCCCTGCTACAGCCGGGCTATAAACTCTGAGAGTTAAAAAAAGAGCTACCATCTTATTCCACAATGTGCCCCCCGCCTTCCGCCAGGGCCTTAGCCCTGTGTCTGAAATGGGATGAGCTTTCCAGAAAATGTATGTAGTAGTCAACCAGTTGAGCTCCCCCTTTCCTGGGAAGACCACATTAGACCACAACTGTACAATGCTGTCTATTCATAGCATGGGGCGGGGAAAGTGTTCAACCTTTTTTTGTTATTTTAATTTTTTTAAAAATGACACCAAAATCCTAAAGAAATGAAACTAGCTTTCTTGTGTGTCAGAAACTAGGTGAGAAAGGCCATCCCAAAACAAGAATTCAAAACATATTATAAGTAACAGCAATGTCACCAGAAAATACACGTTGAAAAGAATGAACCCTTGGCACACAGATATGTTCTTAGATGTTTGCATAAAACATTGAAAAGTGTCCTCAGACTTTGCAGGTTTATGGAGACAGGGAGTGACAGCCATGAGCCTAACCTGTGCCAAGCATTGCTGAGACCAGCTCATTGGAAGGGAGCGTCCATCTAGACCCAGCTAGAGATGGCCCCAAATGTGGTAGGAAGGGCCTACCACCAGGGTGATACAGCCCCGGGTCAGAAGGTGAAATGGAGAAGACAGGAGGTGAGGCGGGGCTGGGCCGAACCTGGGATGAATCAAGCCTTCCTGGAGGGTGGGGACATCCTGTCTAAAACAGGAGCTCCATTAAATCCCCTATAAAAGGTTCTCACCCGCTGACCTGGACTTCACACACTGCCTAACAGCCACTGCCTCATCCTGCCGGACATTAGGTAAGTCTCCTCTGAAGGAAACTCTTTCTCACTTTCAGTGTCTTGGTGATCTGAGCTCGTAAATGCAAGGCTGTCAGACATGAGCTGTGATCCACAGGTGCTGGCTGTGGGCAGAAGATGTTCCTTCCGGGCCCCAGGCAGACCTGGAGCTAGATCCACTGGGAAATGATGCTCTCCTGTGGCAGCTGAGCTTTCTCTTCCTCCCCTGAGGCTGGGCTGGCAGCAGCTCCTCTAGCTGGGAAGCTGTGTGGGCAGCAACAACGGAGTCGCCCTTGTGCCTGCCTAGATCAGCAAAGATCTCTTGCTCCCAAGGTCCTGGAAGGTTCTTTGCAGTGCGATCAGAATCAGTTCACTCCCACCAACCCAGATGGTGAGCTCCAGTCACATCAGGGAGGAAGGGCTTACATGTCTTCTCCCCTGCCGCAGGGTGATAGATTTAGGCAAGATGAGTTTGTAGATCTAAGAATCTGAAGTATTTTGACTATTAATGGGTCAGTGTTAAAAGTCTGCTACTTTAATATCTACTAAATATTTTCATCTAGGTTGAGGAACAATGTTCTCAGCTATGTACTTGATGTAGACTGAGATTGTTGGCGACAAGGTTCTAGAAAGGAATGTGATTAAATTCCCTATGGAAGGCCCTCACCCGCTGACCTGCTACTCCACCAGACAGCACACCTGGGTCTGCACCTTCTCAATCTTTCCAGCCACACTGACTTGCTTTTTCCAGCGCCCAAGTCTCCTTTGGCCCCTTCCTCTCAGGCCTCTCTAGCCATTCTGCCCTCTCCCCACGTCTTCTCTTTTACATTCCCTGGTTTTCCAGCTGTCACCGGGTGATCTTTGGTACCATCTCCTACTTTTGGTCCCTCTGGGCTTCTGCTTAATGCCTCTCCCAGTGGCCCTGCCTCTTGCCCATTCAGCCACACCCAGGCCTCCAGATTCCTGGTTAATGAAAATGGATTCTTTCCTTTCCGTTGGGATCTGCTCCTCATAGGTACCAGGACTCTAGGCCTGATGATGTCACATGCCTGTTGTGCAAGCTCACCTCCCGAGAGGTCCCAGGGCTGAGGGCAGAGGTCACATGCAGAGAAACTTGGACCCTCAAAATGGAAAGACCACACACCCAAAGAAGACACCCCTCCTCAGTATTGTCAACAGGTGGCAGCTCAGCCTCTTCTGAACACCTCCTCACAAGGAGGCAGAAGAGGACAGAGCTAGGCCCTGGATTCCCAGCTGGGCTCCCAGCCGACACAGAGGTCTGCCATGAGTGTACTTACCAGCTTCCAGCATCCCCAGTCAGACCCTAGCACCCTTGTGATAGGAAATGATCCCTGTCGACAGAGAACAATCCAGAAAACCTATTGCACTTGTGTTGAAATGGCTTCGAGGATTTCTTGGTCCCTTAAAAGCTGTGTGGTCTTGGGCAAATCTAACTTTTCTGAGCCTGTTTCCTCACCTATAAAAAAGTAAGCTAACAAGGATGACAAGAGATGATGCACAGAAAAATGCTTTGTAAGCAGTGGTGCAGATGTAGATATACACAAATTATATATGTGCATATGCATATAATAACAATAATGACATTTAATAGCTAGCACTTAGTCTAAGCCAAGCATCTGCCAGGTGCTTTTTTATGAATTATCTCTTTAAATCTTCACAATAACCCTCTAAAGTAAGTACCAGAGTGGTCTTTATTCACAATTAGTAAGCGGAGGCATGGAGAGGTGAAACGGCTTGACTCAGCTCACATGACAGGCAGGTGTCGGGGCTGGCCCTTAAACGCTGACTTAGGTCCTGCCTCCAGTCACTGTGTGCCCTCCTGCCCATACCTAAAATGCACCATGGGGAAGGAGGAAGGCGGGCAGAGAGACCGGAAGCAGCACACACGAGAGGCAGAAGACCTCTGAGGAAACACTGAAGCGCTGTGGACCCTCACAGGGGCTTTTCGTCTTTTGCAGCCTGACCTCAAAGATGCCCCAGTTACTGAGAAACATCAGTGGGATCATTGAGGCCTTCGGGCGCTATGCCAGGACGGAGGGCGACTGCACAGTGCTCTCCCGAGGGGAGCTCAAGAGACTCCTGGAGCAAGAGTTTGCAGATGTCATAGTGGTATGATGGCTGAGCAGGGGAGGGACATAGAGAGAGTGACCTTGCCTGCAGAAGCTTTGCTGGGGGATTTAAGGAGGCAGCAAGTAAATCAAGGCCTGCCAGTACTGAGGGCAGTTGTTGGGGCAGGAAAAAAGAGCAAGAGAAAGTCATGGGAGTGGACAGGCCCTGGTCCTTAGAGAAGGACAAAGTTCTTGGCCCTGGTTCTTGGTGTTAGTTAATTCTAACTTGAAGACTAGGTAAAAGGACACTAAAGGGACAGCTCAAAAAAGAAAGATACTTGAAATGTTCTAGAAAAGAAAATGATTGCTGCTTTCTGCATCCTAAACTTGCTAGAGTAAATGCTTCTCATGCCTATCTGAAATTTGATCATCCACTAGGCATTCACTAGGAACAGAGTTCTGTATCTTGCACAAAGAAGTTATTCAAAAAATTAGCTCACCGCTCACATCAGAAGTGAGATTTTGGAGCGTGGGTCATCAACGGGTGGAGGGAGCCTCTACCCAACAAATCAGAACCAGGGCCTTATGTTGAATCTAAAGCAATCAGGACGATGAAGTCCTTGGGAACAAGGGATTGTGGGTGCAGCTGTTGCCTCTGCATGCTCAGAGCAGCTTATGGTCCTTCTGAATGCTCCCCCATCACACCCCACCTTGGTGAAACATCTGAGCCTCTGTGAGGAGCTCTCAGAACTCCCATGGGGCCAGGTTCCTGCTAACCTCTCTTTGCATGGGGCTTGCTACAGAGAATCCAGCCTCTGTAACAGAGGCAAGGTTCCAAGCACAGCCCCCCCCCCAAATCATCCGAGAGCCCAAACGGTTGCACCATGAACACGTGCATTCATTCTTCAATACAGCTTTACCCAATTATCCTGAAGGCCAGAAACTGTACCAGATATAGAGGAGACAAAATAAAAGGTGCTTACACATGAAGTAGAGAGACAGGACTAAAAAAGATAGAGGCAGATGAATATTAAAGCTGCTAGAGCAAAATGTGTGCAGAGCTAGAGGGTGGGCTGCTAGTCTGCAGGGCTGGGAAGCCTAGCAGCTGGGCCACCTATCCTGAGGGGAGGGATGCTGACTTGTCCTCGTCTTGTTTCCAGAGACCCCACGATGCAGCCACTGTGGATGAAGTCCTGCGCCTGCTGGATGAGGACCACACGGGGACTGTGGAATTCAAGGAATTCCTGGTTTTGGTGTTTAAAGTTGCCCAGGCCTGTTTTAAGACCCTGAACCAGAGTCCTGGGGGTGCTTGCAGTTCTCAAGAATCTGGAAACAAACACTCTGGGTCTTCAAAAGAGCTGGGGGAATGTCAGAGAAGTGGCTCTCAAGTGGGAAGCGAGGGGCAGGGACAACATCAAGAGGCAAGCAGCTGTGCACAGAGCCAGCAGGCTTCCAGAGGCCAGGGCGGGACTGGGACTCGGACCCAGGGTCAGGACACCAGCTCTGCACAGGTCAGCAGCCATGACAGGCAGGCTGAGTCCCAGAGGCAGGAGAGGGGGAGTGAGCAGACACAAGGAGCAGGCTATGTGGAGCAGACCCCAAAAGTAGAGGACAGGGGGTCAGAGAGACAACTGAAGACCAGCGAACAGACAGGTGAGGTTGTGACTGGACCTGCAGCTCAGACCCAGACAGGTGCCACCCAGGCTGGGCAGCAAGACAGCAGCCATCAGACAGGAAGTACCAGCACCCAGACACAGGGGTCTTCCTCTGGCCAGACCAGGCAGACGGAGACACAGGGTCAGGACAGGATCCAGACCAGCCAGGTTGTGACAGGAGGACAAATCCCGACACAGACAGGGTCACACACCCAGACCACAGAGCAGGGCAGGTGCCAGGCTGAGAGTCACACAGGCAGTAGTCAAAAATGGACACACTCTGAGGTAGGAGAGTCTGGGCCAGGTGGACAGACTCAGACTGGGGAAAGCACTGTGACAGGAAGACAGGATGGGAGTGGCACTCACACGAGTGTGACCAGAGAGCCGGGGGAGAGCGAGCCCACAGAGGTTAGGGCAGAGTGGGTCGATGACCACACAAGGGAGGTGGTGTTGGGAACCGAAGACCACGGCGGCTGGCACAGCAGCGCTCCATCGTCACAGGCCCCGGACGCAGGCCAACCAGGAAGGCAGCGGGGCGTCACAGCCAAGGCGCTGTACTCCTACTTCAAAGGCAGCCAGCCATGACTCTTCAGGACAGAAGCCTGCTGAAGAGCCGTTTGCTGTCCTGCCCTGGCCAGCCGACGGGCACGTCCTTGGACATCAGCTCCTAATCACGGTGCTTCCCTTTCAGGTCTCTCCCAACACATCATTTCTGCCAGGTGCTCTCTGTCCTGAGCTTCTCTTCTGCTGCTTTGCTCTGTGGACTTTCTCAGGAGCAGAGATACCCGGAGCAGGCCCTCCCTCTGTGCTGAACTCCCGCATCTCGCAGGGTTCTCAGAGCTACTTCTGTCTCCACTCTCTGTCCATTGCCCCACCCATCCCAGTGCATCAATAAAATCTCCTTAACTGATTTCTGTGTGTCCTATTCAGTTGTCTTCTGTTGATGTGACAGGCTAAGGGCTACAGGGTTATGATATAACTCCATCCCATGCACCGCATCTAACTGAGAAAACATTGTATGACCTTCTAAGAGCGAGAAAGATTCAAAGTGAGGAGATGTCATACTTAACCCTTGGTAGAGGGGATCAGGGAAGACTTCTTCCAGACGTGCTTTTTGGGATAGCCCTTGACTTATTCCCAGTCTTTCCCTGTCTCTAATTCTAGAGCATGAAGTCTCTATTCACCTGTGTGGTCACACAGGACGGCTGACTTGATGGAAGGTCCAGCAGCTCTGCAGGAGAAATGGCAGAAGGCATGGTTATCAGGGGCTGAGCCAGAAGCCAGAGCCCCCGAGCTTCTCTTCCCCACGTCCCCCTCAGCCTCAGCTCCGACCTCTCGTCATGCTTCACCCACTCGGAATGAATAAGTTATGGGTAGAACCAGAGGAAACATTTTTGCAAATTAAGATTTTTAAAACCTAACCCTAGAGAGGCTGATTCCTAAGGTTTGGAGCAAAACCTATGAATACTGTTTAAAAACTTCTTATGGGAATGTGTGCTTCTGGCGGTACAGACGTTTAGGTACTCTGAAAGCCTCCCACAACGAAATAAATAGATCTTGAATAAGGCATATTTCTCACTGTGTTCTCGGTTCTTGGGAAGTAAGGAAAATCTCTAAGGAGAAAACAAAATGTGGTAGGCTGAAAAAACTACCTCCAGAAATGTCTCCTAATCCCAGGAACCTGTGAACACGCTGCCTTACATGGCAAAAGGGGCTTTCAAACGTGATTGTGTTAAGGATCTGGAGCTAGCGGGATAAGTCTTGATTATATGGCTGAGCTCAATATAATCACAAGGCTCTTTGTAAGAGCGACTCAGTAAAAGGACACGTGGAATGAATGAGCAGTCGGAGCCATGTGCTAGGAACCAAGCAATGTGGAAAAGACAAGGCATTTCCCCCCCGAGCCCCCAGAAGGAACAGCACACCCAGCGCCTGATTCTAGACCTCTGATCTCTAGGATTGTAAGAGAATAAAATGTGTATGGTTTCAAGCCACTAAGTTTGGAGTAATTTGTTTCAGCAGCAATAGAAAATTAACACAGAAAACAAAAACCTAGAGCTGAGCCAGGCCAGGGTGGTGCAGGCCTGTGATCCCAGTGACTCAGGAGGCTGAGACAGAAGGATCACAAGTTTGAAGACAGGCTGGGCAACAAGACCCTGTCTCAACAAACAAACAAACAAACAAAAACACAAACCTAGAGCTGAAGCCAGAATAGTAAGGGGATAATCGTGTATAAAAGGTGAGGACAAGCTGATTTTATATCCCCCCAAACTGGCCTTTAAATAGAAAGGCCAGGCTGGGGCTGGGGCTCAGTGGTAGAGCGCCGCTTGCCCAGCATGTGTGAGGCACTGGGTTTGAGCCTCAGCACCACACAAAAATTAATAAATAAAATAAAGGTTAAAGACAAGTTCAAATAAATAATCTATATCTTTTAAAAATAAGTAAATAATAAATAGGCCAAAGATGAACAGCAAAGAACTTGCAGGCTCAGGGAATACCCCTGCCTTAAGCTCTTCCTGGAGAATCTTGGAGAAGAGACATGTATTCACACACACACACACACACACACACACACACACACACACACAGAATCACAGAAGAAGCTTTTGAATTATACACACTTAAATATATCTAACTTCAGATCCGAGACTAAATAATGCGGACAAGGTGACAGAACAGCATTTAATGTTATGTGCTCTGAATATATAGAATGATATAGTTAACAAAAAATGATTATAGAAGGGGAAAGTGTATGGAAAAATGGAGTAAGCTCACTGATTGTCTTATGTAAGTATATACTTTAAGGAAAAATTGGGAATAAAAGAATATCACTTCAAATTAGATGTGGGGAGGGTGAAGGATTCTAGAAAATGTCATTATTAATTAGAATAGGGAATGAACAGACAAAATACAAAGGGGGGGGGTACAAGGATACATACTACATAAATATATACTATAAAGGTAAGTAAAGATAGAATAAAAACATAAACCTCCCTCAACATCAAAAGATATTCCAGGGCTAAAGATGTACCTCAATGGTAGAGTGCTTACCTAGCATGTACAAGGTCCTGGATTTGATCCTTAGTACTACAAAGAAAAAAAAAGATATTGCAGAAAAAAAGCTACATACACACAATCCCTTCACAGTGTATGTGTATGTATGTATATACATATGCATATAGATAGAATGATATACACATATACATACACATATTCGTAGAACTCATGAGGTTCTACCCAACCACACAGTAACCTAACAATAAAAGTACTTATAAAATATTCAATACTAAGATGTAAATAAAAAATTTCCTCATACTACATTATTCAGAAATAAAGCAAATAGGATTCTTACAGGCAGCACATGCAATATTGATGAATATCGCCAAATCTGTGGTATCAGTTGTTGGTGGAAATTAACAACACATATACATACTATTAATCAACTCTTGGATAAAAGGAGATGACTAGAAAGTGAAATTGTGGAACTTTTTGAAAGTAACAATTAAACAAGACATAGAAATACCGTTTGAAAAGTTAGAAAAATACCTACAATGAAAACGAAACAAAAACAAAAGGATTAATAAAATTATAGGAGAAATTAACAACTAAAAACAGAAAATCATTCCATCAATCAGTGAACAAATAAATAAAAACCCTACATTTTGGAATCAACAAGGTAGTAAACTATTAACCAATGTTGTTTTTAAAAAGGTGAAAAAAGTGGAAGTGAGAAAACACAGATACACAGAGTAAGAAGTAACAATGGGCAAAGACAAAAGTTCACAGGAAAAGTAACAAATAATTCTAAAATGTATGAGAGATACTAAACTTGTTTATAATCCTAGAAACAGACTAAAACTGTATTGAAGTGCCATTTCTCATCCTCAGCCTGACAAAACCTCTCTGTGAGTTTGACGTGGAGCTCACACTTCCTGGTTGGGATGCACAATGACACTCAGTGGAGGGGGATTGGGCAAAATTTCATCAACTGAATAGATGCCTGCTCTCTTCCAGCTGTTTCCCCGGGCCTGAAGTAGGGGTTAGCAAACTGCAGCATTCAATAATTAGTTACTGAGGGAATTAAATGGCTTGACCTCTCCTTCCACACACGCAAGTTAATATCCTTATGGACTTGAGACTATGTGGAGTTAGATATAATCAAGCTCATGGCAAATGAGAAAATCAAGTTTTCTTTAGTGTTGCCCAAAGTCCTGCTGTTAGAAAGGGGCAGAGATAGGACTAAATCTAGGTCCTCTGAATATCAACTCAGTGTCAAATCACACCCCACAGAGCAGAAAGGGCACCGGAGAGCTTGAGGATCTACCAAAGGGGTTGAAAGTCAGACAGCTGGTCCTCCAACCCCCATCTCCATACTCAATGGGTGATTCTTACCATGAAAATATGCAGCCCTTGTATGCCTCGGAGAAAACACCACTCTCTGGAACCCTGTTCTTAGGGAATTTCCATGAATGGAAAGGGGGTGTTGAGTTACCAGTCCTTTCATCCATTGTATTTCTTGCTATAAACAGATGGATTGGACTCATGAATGACAATCCCAATCTTTGGGCTTAGCAGATGTGAGACTGACACTCAGGAAGAATCTACTGTCACAGTAGTTCAGAGTCTGGGCCTAAAGTGGGGTTCTTCCTAAGCTTCTGCATTCCCCAAGGTAACCCCGACTGTTCCACCCCAGGTCATCCCTCACCCCTCATCTCCTTTTGGGATTTACTGACCTCCCTTGAACTTTTAGTGTCAACACATATCTGTTTCTTTCAAACAATATGCATGTTAGATGAGAGTCAAAAGGAAAAAAAATTGTGCAAAATAGAGACTCGATGGGAATGAAGTGTTTATATATAGCCCCCAAGGTGAACTCTGACATTTCTCTTTCACGTCATATCAAACACAATAAAATGTACTTACATGACACTGAAATGGAATTTTTGCTGAGAATATTTTGAAAGATTTTTATAATTTCTTTTTTAAATTATTTGGATGTAAGTAGTATCTGATTTGATTATAATGCTATCCTTGCAGTCACAGAGCACACACTTGAGAGGGAAAAAAAAATCCGTATTAAAAGTTTCTAATCAAATAAAAAATTCCATTAATACTAAATTTAACAATAAATGAAATTTACAAAGTTTTATTTCTAGGGATTTTAAATGTTTATCTCTATTTTGCACTTTTTAAAGAATTTGGATACCTATAGAATAATATCTATTTATTTTTGATTCATACATCCTTGTTGACCCTTGTAAAGCTCATAAGCCCCAGTCACACTGGCCACCATGTCTGAAGTCCTGTTCCCAGGCCTACTGGGGGAAAGCCTCACTTCAGAGGCCTGGCAAACCAGGTACAGAGCATTGTGCTGCTGCCCCCTGGTGACGGTTAACACTGATGCCGCTAAAAAACCTCCTGGAGGAAAAGTGTTTTTTAGGGAACAGGAAAATGTTAATCCAACATGGGGCAGGCTCTGTAGTGTGGTGGTGAGCACAGCAGCACCCAGAGGAAGTACAGGAAGTGGCCAACCCCAGGCTTCACGGACCCTCGGTTTATTGTATGTGTTTCTGTGTTGAGGAGGG